CTTTAAATCCCTCGCCTTTTCTGCTCTGCTATCGTATATATACATTATATATATATAATACATACAGGAACAAAGGAACAGGAGGAGGCCATTCAGTCCCTCAAGCCTGTTCCACCATTCTATAAGATCATGGCTGATCTGTATCTCAACTCCGTTTACCCTACTTTGCTTCAAATCCCTTGATACCCTGACCTGACAATATTTGGTGAGGGGGAGAAGAAACTATTAATGAAAACATCCCAGAACGGGGCAGTTTGTGGCCAAAAGGGTTCCAGATTTTGCAGAATCCTCACTTTCCCTCATAATAATAATCCTTGCCTTTTGACTTACCACATCGTTGAGACGCCTCAAAGCGCTTCACAGGATACACTGTAAAGTGGAGTGACTGCGTGTTTCATTGGCGAAACGCGGCCGCCAATTGCGCGCAGCAGCGTCCCCACAAACAACCGTGGAATCAAGTGACGACATTTCTTTTGAGGGGAAGGGATTATTAACCCCGGAAAGTGATCCGCCAATCGACTCAACAACCGGGTTCCTACTTACTGCTGGTAAACAGAGGCGTGTGTGTGGAGTAAGGAAATTTTCGCCTTGCCCGGGAATCGAACCCGGATCCTCTCGCTTGCGAGGCGAGCGCTCTAACCACTGCGCTACGGGACTTCTTGAGGCACCTCTGGATGTGAAAGCCGCTGTGTCAAATGCCAAGATTATTATGTTGATGATTAATTACAACATGCTGGTGTTTTTTAACAAAGAAGGAAAGTTTTATGATGGTAACCAGGTGACGTCAACCACTGGTCAGGAGCTGCAATCAATAGCTCAGACGTGGTGGGGCACAACCTGTCAGCCCAGCCCCCAAATTAGCCCCAAAACACAACCCTGATCCTACACTACATCCTCTCTCTCACTCTCATTGCCCTCAGTCAAAGGACGCTCTCTCTCTCCGATCACAAGCCCAATACTGTGCTAGTCGGTCACGCTCCTAACCCCCATCCTCCCTGCCCTCCACCCCTCCAGATCCCAACTGGTCCAAATCCATGACTGTCCAGCGCCTTGGGGCGTCCTCCCCACCTGAAATGTCATTTGTTGTTAAGACATTTGTTGTTGTTTGTGTGGCGCTGTGTAAATGTCATTTGTTGTTGTGAAATATTTTGAGGACTTTTTCACATTAGGAAGGAGTCTTACAGTCTTATGTTTAGCGCGTGCGTGTTTTCTGCGTGTGTGTTTTGCGCGTGCGTGTCTTGCGCATGCGTGTTTTGTGTGTGCGTGAAGACCTTCCACTTGGACCGTGCCGAGGATCACCTCCCCCTCCCCGGGCTCCGTGCTACGCCACCGTTAAGTGCTCGGAGATCTTGCAAGTTGTTGTTGTTGTTGTTGTAGTGTGTGTGGTGGGGGGTGGGGGGGTGGGGGGGCACGGGGCGACAATTGTCATGAAGCGACACAAGACGTTGATGTGAAGAGCCAGAGGCCCCTCTCCGCGCCCCCCCCCCCCCCCCGCCCCCCGCCCCCACCACCTGTGACAGAGACGTCTTCATTTAGTCGTAACCTTTTTTCCACTTTGTCCGTTCGCTCAGAAACCGTTTCATGGTGAGCTGCTCCTGCCACGAGGCAGTGACTGTGCCAGGCTCACTGTTGCACGTCTCCTGGCAGTTACATGGCGAGGTGCCCTCAGTCTCCTGATGGCTGGTTGGCACGGGGGGCGGGCGGGGAGGGGGGGGGTGGTGTGTGTTCACGAAACAGCTCGTCCTTTCCAACACACTGTGTTTATGAACGTGTCTGGAAATAGGGTTTAACCTGATATGTTTTCTCAAGCCCGAAGTTTGACACTGTTCCTAGTAATTGCAGCCTTCCTGTAACACCAGCCAGCAGCCCCCCCCCCCCCCGCCCCACCAAATCCTCAGCCAGATTCCCCTCACCCCCCCACACCCTCAGCCAAACCCCTTGCCAGCCCCCCCCCCCAGCCCCCGAGCCAGCCCCCAGCTCCTGACTCCACCTTTCCTTTGGCTCATCCAGTTGGAACGGAACTGCCTCACTCTGTCAGGGAGGCAGCTCTGAGCCTCTCGCCCGTTGCAACTCACTCGCACGCTGCCTGGTCATTACTGCCATCCCTATCCAGGACGGTCGAGGTTCCCAGCCCGAGGCTCGGTCGGTCGCTCTCTCGCCTCTCACTTAGAAGGTTGTGGGTTCAGTTACACACCCCACTGTCAACTTGTCCCTCGCCCCCTCCGCTCCACCATTGGCGGCCGTGCTTTCAGCCACTTACGCCCCGAAACTTTGGAACTCATCCCCCCCCTTAAGCTTGTCCCCCCTCCTCCCAGCCTTTTTGTGTTAGGTGTGAAGGGAGCTGTATACATGCAAGTTGTTGTTGTTGTCGGGGACTTTGAGCTGATTGTCTAGGCTAACAGTACGAGGTGGGTGGGGGGGGGGGAGCGGCATTGTCAAAGTTACCGTCCTTCGGATGAGACGTTAAAACCGAGGCCCCGTCTGCCTTTTCGGGTGGATGTTAAAGATCTCCTGGCGCTGTGGGACCAGGGGAGGGAGTTTCTCTCTCTCTCTCTCCCTCTCTCTCCTGGTGTCATGGCCAACAATCCCATAGATAAACTCCATCACTCACCTCCTCGTGGCTGTTTGTGGGATGTCGCTGTGTGCAAATTGGCAATGACAAATTCTGTCGGGAAGGGGGAATTTGTGTGTGTGTGTGTGGGGGGGGGAGAGGGGATTCCAGTGTGTGGTTGTGATTGTGTGCGCGTCTGTGGGGAGAGAGTGAGGTGGGGGGGGTTTCGGGGAAGGTGTAAGGTGTGTGTGTGTGTGTGTGTGTGTGTGAGGGGGGGAGAGGGAGAGAGCGAGGGAAGTTAATGAACATACACAGTTGTGTGTAAACTCCTGTAAAGGAGGTGTGTGTGTGCGTCAAAAAAAAAAATTTTTTTTCCCAGACACGTACACGTACGCTCCTGTGAACGACTTGAAACGCCAGACAAATATTTGGATACCTGTAAGTGTCTCCTCGAAAGTCGCACGATTTTCCGCTGCCTGCGCTTTGAACTGACAGGTTTGGAGGCTCGGAAAAAAAAACACAGCCTCTGTCTGCATCCTCTCCGCTTCATGAAAGAAAATGAAATGAAACGTGGACCTACAGTAGGTCCACGTTTCATTTCATTTTCTTTCATGAAACGGGGAGGATGCAGAGTTTTACTGGCAAAGTTTGGCTGAGATGTTTTTCACCCCCGAAAGTAAACTATCATTTTTTTCCCCCTTTGGTTGAACTTTTTTGGGGGGACCTCGTCATCAGTGAGTGAAACGAAGGCTTTCGGCACTGCTCACGGCAAGTTACATCACCCCCCCCCCCACCCCACCCACCATACCCCATATGATTCCCCCTCCCCACAAACTCACACACACCCCTCAATCCAGGTGTGCCCTGAGCACTGTACAGCTTGTTGCATGGTTTGCTGTGGGCTGTGATCATAGTGGAGGGGTGTGGGGGGGGCGGCAGTGTGTGTGCGGGGGGCAGTGTGTGTGGGTGTGTGTGTGGTGGGGGCGTAGTGTATGTGTGGCAGGGATAGTGTGTGTGTGTGGGTGGGGGGCAGTGTGTGTGTGTGGGTGGGGGGGCACTGTGTGTTGGGGCGGTGTGTGTGTGGGGGGGGCAGTGTGTGTATGTGTGGGGGGGCAGTGTGTGATGGGGGGTGTAGTGTGTGTGTGGGGGGGCAGTGTGTGTGGGGGGGCAGTGTGTGGGTGGGGGGGACAGTGTGTGGGGGGGTTGGGGGTAATGGCTGAACGCTGTGATTACCTGCCAGATCCTCTTTGGAGGAGACCAGACGGGGAGAGCTGTTTCCTGGTTCGATCCTCAGAGATAACCTGGAGAGAGAGAGGGAGTGAAGGAGACTTATTAACCTCAGGTCACAAATCCACCCTGTCCCTCAGCACCGTGAGTCTGTCCCTGTCACTCCTCAAATCCCTCGAGGTCTCAACCTCTCACTGCCCCCCCGCCACCCCATCGCCCCCTTCCCCCGCCTGAGGGCTGAGATCAGAAACAGCACAGAGTGGGGGAAAGTGACAGTTACTCAGTCTCTTTGCTCAGTCTTCAGCGAGTGCTGTCGTACTGTTTATTGTTAATTCAAAGTGAAGTCAAACTGAGAGAGAGAGAGAGAGAGAGAGAGAGAGAGAGAGATTGATTGTGAGCCCACGTGAATAGAGACCCGGTTAGATGATCTAATAATAATATTCCTTGCATTTGACGTAGTGCCCGCCTTATCCTGTCGTTGAGACGACTCAAAGCGCCTCACAGATTATAACTGTAAGGTGGAGTGAGTGACTGCTGTGTATTTTGTGGGCGAAAACACATCTGCGGGGAAAAGTGTGACATGAGGTTAACCCCCAGCCCGACCGGCGCCTGTTTTTACATCAGCCGCTGGCAATTAAACCAGGGGGACCAAGGAGGAGGGGGAGGGAGGGGTGGGGGGGGGGATTCCACGCTCACACCAGTTCGGTTCCCCTGTGTTCGACGAGATGAGCAATCGTTTGCTGGTCACTGAGCGGAGAAAATGAGTTAGGGGATTCTGAGCTCATACACAGCTCGAGACCAAAACAGTGGAATTGGAGGAATTTGAGCAAAACTGTGTCGTTCTCAGAGACGTTTGCCCCCCTCCACCCCCAGAATTCCTCTTACATTATCTCACCTCACAGTGGAGGTCTCTGGAAAATACCTCCTAACCCATAGCAAACACCTCAGCCACATGTGCTTACTGGTGATTGATCAGGATAATGTGCCAGTGATTAGATCAGCGCAATCTGACTCCTTGTCAACACCAGATGAAAGACAAGGAGAGAGAGAGAGAGAAACAGGGAGAGGGGGAGAGAGAGAGAGAGAGAGAGTGGCAGAGGAAGAGAGAGAGAGACAGGGGAGACAGAGAGAGAGAAAGATATGGGGGCAGAGAGAGAGAGAGAGAGAGGGTGGGTGGGTGGGGGAGAGAGACAGAGACATCACAAACAGAAAGAGACCGGGAGAGAGATAAAGAGAAAGACAGAAAGTCGCAGAAGAGAGAAAATCAAGGAGAAAGAGAGACAGAAAGATAGTGGGATAGAGAGAGAGAGAGATAAAGAGACCAAAAAAAATCAGAGACAGGGATGGGGTGAGTCAGAGAGAGAGACAGAGAGAAAGGGGCAAAGGAAGAGAGATAGACAGGGAGAAAGAGAGACAGACAGAGGGTTGGGGGCAGAGAGAGAGACAGAGAGAGAGAGAGAGAAATAGGGGGACAGAGAGAGAGACAAAAAGAGGGTTGGGAGCAGACAGCGAGAGAGCGAGAAAGAGAGAGACAGCGAAATCAGAGACAGGGAGAGAAAGAGACAGGGGTGGAAAATCAATCACTGGGAATAAAATAAACACTAAATGATTTTACACAGTGGAAAGTCAGAGTCATGGTCTGTGCATTTTAATCAGAGCCATGTACTGTACTGTACACACGAATTTAAGAAAAATAATTTAATTTGATACGGGGGACCTACAACATCGAAACATCTGACTGGCTTCACTGTAAAGTGTAGTGACTGTGCATTTCGCAGGAGGAACGCGGCAGCCTGTTCGAGCTGAGCGACGTCTCCACAAAACACACTGCGAAGTGAACGAGTGAGTGTGCGCGTGTGGGGGTGGGGGGGGAGTGGGGGGCAAGGGGTGGGGAGGGAGTGGGGGGGAAGGGGTTGGGGGAACGTTTGAGTCAAGGATACCGGGAGCCAAACTCCCATCTCTTTTCGAGCAGCTCTGCGGGGAACTTGAGATGTGCAGCGAGGTGTAACCTAGTAATCTATGCATGAGGAATACAGTACAAGCTATCGTGTTCCCACAGCCTGTTTTATGAGCCAGAGCTTCGCACCATTACGTCATGCAAGTTTCACAAAGAGAGCGAGCGAGAGACACACACAGAGAGAGAAGAGACAGACAGAGAGAGAGAGAGAGCGCGCGCGCGAGAGAGAGAGAGAGAGAGAGAGCTTCTTCATTCAGCCTTCTGACCCAGGCTGACACATCTGCATGCCTTTGCCCCCCCCGCCCACCCCCCATGTCACTGGGTTGTGAGTTCCAGTCCCTCGCTGTTGGTTTCATTGTGATAGCATCATAAACTACCGTTTGCAAACGGAGGCCCTCTTTCCCTGATCAGGCACGAGTTAAACATCCCCCCCCCCCCCCCCCCGTTTCTCTCCTCCCTCCTCACCCACCCAGGTGTCCTGGCCAACAATCCCCTCTACCAACTACACCCCCCGCCCCCCCCCCCCCACTCCTCACACACACTCGCACACCTCAATTTTCAGCTGCAAGACCCACACGGTTGCTTCGTTTCACAGTAAATCTCTTAGAGACGTTCTCCCGACGTGAAAGGCGCTGTGTCAGATTATCGTTTTCACGATTATTATTCTTATTATTACTATTATTGATGACGGCCGTCACGTTCTGTGGCTGAACATCAACAACAACTTGTATTTAATGTACAGTAGAGCGCTCTTCAACCAGGATAGCGACTCAGTCACTACAATTGCCGACGAGGAGGTTTGAGCCATTCGAACGACTGTTTGTGGGGACGCTGCTGTGTGCCATTGCCTGCCGCGTTTCGCCCCCAAAACACAGTCACTACACTTTACAGCATATCCTGTGAAGCGCTTTGAGACGTCTCGACGACGTGATAAGGCGCTGTGTCAAATGCAAGGATTATTATTATTATTATTATTATTATTATGATGATCCAAGGAGGCGCTGTGTTAAAAAAACACACACAAATCCTTTCGTTATTTTTAAATCCTTTTTTGTTTCAGGATTAAAGAAGGAAATGGGAGATTCTGAGCGCAATGGGAACAGCTGTTCAATGAGCACCTAATAGAGCGAAGCTCACAAGTAATTACAGTTTGCAGTTTGTTAACTTAATCCAGACTTGAAAGAGAGCAATTTCTTCGCACACAGAGGGTGGTGAGAAATGTACAACTTGCAACCCACGCACTGACTCCCGAGAGACTTACATACAGAGTCCCTTCTTTCAAAAGACGGCACCTCCAAATAATTCAGGCCACCCGCCCTCCCCCACCCGCCCCACACACAGGAACGTTAGCCCACATGAGCTGCAAGTCCTGACGTGAGCAATAACAGTAACAGCGATATTACCAATAGTATTAACACTATCGCATTTGATAGGGCACAATAAGGGTAATTAGAGCAATAAGGCGCTGTATCAAATGCGAGGATTGTTATTATTGTGGTAGGATCGTCACGAGACAAGCGAAAGGAGAGTTTCGGAGAAGTTTAGTTCTTTCACAAAGAGACTTGTTGAGAATCACAAATGCTTTGCTAAGTCAGGTCACAGAGGCTGAGGGCAACGTGGGTTTCAAGAGGGAAGTACAACAACAACAACAAGATTACATTTGTATAGCGCCTTTCACGTCGGGAGGATGTCCCAAGGCGCTGACGGGTATATGAAGGATAAAGTGTGTGGGGCAGGGCGATGGGACTGAATGGTCTGTGGGTTCCGAGAACCCGTGCAGATTGGATGGGCTGAACAGCCCCTTCCCGCACTTGTAAACGTCTAAAATTCTATTCAGGAAAGACACACTGTGTTTTTTTGGCTGACTGACACATGCGGAAACCCATCACCGTTGCTTACGAGCATCTAATTCCATGTCCCCCACCTACACGTGGAAATTCCGGAGATAGATTGTTGGAATGGACTACGCTCTCTCTCTCTCTCTCTCTCTCTCTCTCTCCCCCTAGAGGGATGCATACTGCTTACCTAATTCCGGAAAGTATTAGGCGCACGTACTAAAACTTTCCGGAATTAGGTAAACAGAAAAAACACACAAACGTTCGACCTTTGATAGCCCCCCCCCCCCCCCGCGCGCACCTATACACATACACTCACACACCATACGCGCACAAACACACACTGTCTCCGAGCTCAGTGCTTTGCTGGCAATGCTGACTGGACACAGGAACACCTCAAGCTGTTTCCAATCAAATGTAAATTGACTCAGCAGCTCAGTGCTAGTGAGGGGTTCTCTGTGCTGTCTCATTGCAGCCCCCCCGCCCCCATCTCCCCGTGCCTTCTCCCTCCCCCACTCCCGCCCTGCCTTGGAAGCATTAAGTTTGCTTTGATCGCAGCAAAGCTCAATCCATTAAGTGACCAGATCACAAAGACAAACCAGAAGCACACTGCTAACCCTTGGCTCCGTCACTCAAAAGGAAAGTTATTTGGAGCTGAAAGGAGAGGGAGTTTCTCCTGGCGTCCTGGCCAACAATTCCCTCTCCCACCCCCCACTATCAATGAGTGGGATCCTGCTGAGCAAATAGCCCTTACGTTTGCCTGTAAAATAAAAACAGTCTCTATACTACTCGACAGTAAGTACCAGCGATCTCCTCTCTCCAAAAGGGAGAGAGAGAGCGAGAGAGACAGACAGAGACAGAGAGAGAGAAAGATAGTGAGAGGGACAGTGAGAGACAGAAAGGGAGAGAGAGAGAGAGAGAGACAGAGCGAGAGTGTGTATTCCATTCCGGTCATTGGGCAATTTCCACGTGTAGATGGTGTACACACATGTGGAGCTGTCAGTCCACTTTGGATACTCTTAATAATAATAATCCTTGCATTTGACGTCTCAAAGCGCTTCACAGAATATACTGTAAAGTGAGCTGACTGTGTATTTTGCAGACAAGACACACATGTCAGATGCCTGGCTCACCCAAAACACTCTCCACAGATCATCTTCAAGGAAGCTGCCCCCACCCCCACACCCCCAACTCCCCATACATACAGTTTTACAGCACAGAAGAGGCCATTCGACCCATTGTGTGTGTCTGGCTCTCCGAACATGCTAGTTCAGTCCCACTCTCCCCCCCGTGTGTGTGTCGGTGTGTACAAACGCGTGCACATGCACATGTACATCGGTGAACACGAGTGTGTTAGTGCGTCAGTGTGCGCGTGGTTATGTCAGCATAAACATAGGAACA